AAGGACTTCTTTTATTATTTCCAATCCTTTCTCTCACCTCCCCATACCATCCATGGCTTAAAAGACTTTGTTTACGAAAAAAACATCCACGGCAAAATGGTCTGGGGACCTTTCAGGGACAAATGTTATGTTTTAGTTTATATTTAAAAAACAAAGACTGGGAACCAGCAGTTAGCGTAATGGCTATGTCGCTGGACTCCCACGTAGTCGACTGCGGTTTGCGTCCCGGACCCAGTGGCTTAAAACTCATGCCAGGCGCATGTGCGTGCATGCCCAAGACCCCAAGAGGAGAATGGAGGAGAAGGGATTGCGGCGTGATCATCCCCCCGGGGGGTGATTTCTCGCTTTCTATCTCTATGTCTCTCTCTGTCTGTCTGGTGAGCGCATGCGCCCAATAGCGAAAACCTCTCCAAAAAAAAGAAAGAAAAAGAAAAAGAAAAGATTGAAAAATATCTTGAGAAACACTAAGGTTTTGCAGACCATAGGTTGGGGACTACATGGAGCTATGGTCATACAGCTCCATGATTGCTCAGCCAGTGGAAAGAGGCATATGGTGAAGGGATATCCAGAAGCAGGCAGAGCCTCCACCTATGGCAACCTCTGCTGTCAGTAAGAGCTCCTGCCACAGAGGAGAGCAGTACCAGGCTGGAGATACAGATTATAAGAAAGACACACCACGCCCCAAGAAAGGGCTCCATTTCTTACCTCTGAAATTTCAGGCCCATCTTATTGGCCAGAGCATGGAGCAGCAACACTGTCTGGCCCCAAGCAGCATTAATCTCATTCCATTCTACAGGAACACTGGGCAGGCGCCCCAGTCTGAAGTTATTGATCGTGCCAAATTGTCCACTATGCCTGCAGAGGAAGCAGAAGGGCAAAGAAAAATACCGGGATTACTTAAAACCTCTATGATTTCCCATTCTCACCCAAAACCTAGCATAAATTTCTATCTTCAGATTCATACAGCAGAGGTCTACTTGGCACTTGCCACACATGTCTAAAACCTGAATCATCATTTTTCTTACTGCTCAGATACCGAAGCAGAAACCTGGGTGTCTGTTCACCCAGTGAATGTTCTCTCAGCAACCTGCCCCCCAAATCCACCAAGCTCTGCTGGCTCTACGAAATCTTATACATCTGTCCACTCTCTCCAGTTTCAGTACTACTTTCTTTTCCTGTTTAGATTCCTACCAACAAGTCTCCCTACCAACAATAACTTCTTCCTTCCACAAATCACTTCCCACACTGCAGGTAAAGCTCTCAATCAAAATACTTACGTAATTATGTCACTTCCCTGTCTAAAATGCTTCATTGCTTCCCACTGCCTTTTGGATCAAGTCCAAACCCCTTAACGAGACCTACATGATCCTTTAGGAACTCAGTTTCATATCCGGTCACTCTCCCCTTTATACTCAATCTTTAGCCACAATAAGCTCCTTTCAGTTCTCTGATTCACCTCTCATTCTTTCCCCTGTTTCTTGCATATGATGTTCTCTCTGCCAGGAAAAACTCCCATGTCTGCAACTTCTACTTCGCCTCTCAGCTTAAACGTCAACCTCCTCCAGGGGAAACTTTCTGTGTGGCCTCCCCAAATTAAAAAGCCCTCATGTTCCCATAGCACCTGGGGCTTACCATTATCACACTGTATTATGATGGCCTTTTTACCCATCTCTTCTACCAAATTATAAGCAACTATTACAGAAGGTAGACTGCATATTGTTTGCTGTTGCCCCCCCAACACATAGTAGATGCTCAACAGTTACTAGCTGTTGAGCTAAACAAAAGATAAATGATTACATAAACAAATTTAAAAAACAAATAAATTAAGTAATACATAAATAACCCTGGGGATAAGAAATAAGCCCCTGGCAATTGACCAGGTTGCCACCTGAATAGAGAGTTCAAACCTTTCCCTGCTTTCCCTCCCCCCTAAACCTTTCCCTTTTCTAAAGTTAGATGTCACCAAGTGTAAGAATTCCAATCCCTTGACTGGGCCTATCCCACTAGAAGGAATGAAAGAAACCTCACTAGATGAAGATGACATGTCATTCCTGTTCTGTGAGGAGGGATGCCCTGGGTGAGAGGGCAACAGTAAGACCCAGACATGCATTGCTCCCCAGATGCTCCTCACCCTGAGCCCCCATTACCAGATGTGGAAGGTTGCATTGAAGACGTTGGTTTTCTTCAGTTTATCCAGCTGCATCTGGGCATAGCGCATCTGGTTTTCTACACTTTTTAACTCATCATCCAGCTCCAGCTGTTGTCGTTTAAATTCACTGTATTCCCTCTGATACCTGTAAGCAGTCAATGGGGTCAGGAAAGGCTATTAGTTTGAAGGCCAAAATTTCTCTCATACTCTGCCTCTGAACAATTTACTCTAGCAATTATGTTCACATCTAGTTATATGTCTTTGTTATATTTATAGGGCATAGATCTCACTCAGAGGAACATACTAGGGGCCTCAAAAAGTTTGTGGAAACATGGAATTAAGATAAAACTGAGGGGCCAGCAAGTGTCATGGTTGAGGTGCTGGATTCCCACATGGCCGACCACAGTTCGAGTCCCAGACTTGATGGCTTGCTTTCTCACTTTCTTTCTCTTTCTCTCTGGTGAGCACACATGCCCTATAGCAAATTGAAACATAACAACAATAAGAAGAAATAAAATTAAATAATTCTTTTTTAAAAAGATAAAAATTAGGGACTAGCACTTGGTGTAATGGTTATGTCACTGGACATCCATGGTTATGTCACTTGACCACAGTTAGAGTCCCGGGTCCAGTGGCTTAAACTCATGCTGGGTGCCTGTGTGGGCATGCCCAAGATCCCAAGAGAAGAATGGAGAAGGGATTGTGGTGTGGCCAACCCCCCTGGGCTTGATTTCTAGCTTTCTTCTCTCTCTTTCTGGCGAGCACATGCACCCTATAGCAAAAACCTCAAAAAAAAAAAAAAAAAGATAAAAATTAAAAATATAAACTTGAGGCTGGCAGGTGGCATGGTGGGTAAGGGAACTGGACTCCCACATGGCTGACTACAGTTCGAGTCCCAGACCTGGTGGCTTGCTTTCTCACTTTCCCGCTCACTCTCTCTCTGTCCCTCTCTGGTCAAATTAAAATAGAAAAACAAATAAAGTTAAATAATTCTTTTTTAAAAATATAAACTTTACTTCTCAACATAAGGTCCATCAAGTTCAAATACTTTCAGAAGCACTAATAACTGCCATTTAGTCCATCTTAAAGAACCGAGGACACAGGTAATTCAACCACGTCAATGCAGGTCTTTTTAGTTTGTTATAGGGCATGTGCACTTGCAGGAGACAGATGGAGAGGGAGAGATACAGGGGAAGTGAGGTGAGAAGTTATCCCTGTAAGGGGGTGGTCATGCCTCAATCCATTCTGTTTCATTCTCCTCGTGGTATTTGGGCATGCACATACAGTGTATGCACTCATTAAAGAGAGGAAAGTGAGAAATCACCCTCCCAGAGGGGATGGCCATACCACAATCCTTTCTCCTTCATCCTCCTCTCATGATTTTGGATACCCCCTCCCCCTGCCAAAACACACACAGCTGGTGTGAATTTCAAGCTGCAGAGTCTGGGGTCTGAACTGTACAGTTGGTCATATGTGATCCAGCTGCCTTAACCTTCCTGCCACCTGCTGGCCTCCTGGGCCTTTCTTTATTTTTGCTTAAACTTCAATTGGGGCCAGCAGGTGGCAGGCTGGTTAAGGCACTGAACTCCCACATGGCTGACCACGGTTCGAATCCTGGACCTGATGACTTGCTTTCTACCTTCCCTCTCTCTCTGCTTCTCTCTGGTGAATTAAAAAATAATAGTAATAATAAGTAAAATTAATTCTTAAAAAAAAAAAAACTTTAGGTAAGTTTCTTTCATTCTTCCTTTCTTTTTTTTAAAAGAATTCTTGGGGACCCAGCATAGTGTAATGGCTATGTTGCTGGATTCCCATGTAGCTGACCACGGTTCGAGTCCTAGACCCAGTGGCTTAAACTCATGCCTGGCACGTGTGCGTGCGTGCCCAAGATCCTGAAAGGAGAATGGAGGAGAAGGAATTGCAGCATGTCCATTCCCCCTGGGGGGGGATTTCTAGCCTTCTGTCTCTCTGTCTCTCTCTCTCTGTCTGGTGAGCGCATGCGCCCTATAGCAAAAACCTCTCCAAAAAATATTCTTGGGACCAGCAGGTGGCATAGTGATTAAGGCACTGGACACTCCCACGTGGCTGACCATGGTTCAAATCCCAGGCCTGGTGGCTTGCTTTATTACTTTCTTTGTGTATCTCTCTCTGTGTCTCTCTCAGGTCAAGTTAAAATGAATGAATAAATAAAATGAAATAAATCTTAAAACAAAAAAAGGAATGCAAAAAAAAGGGATTCTTTATTTTATTTATTCATTCATTTATTTTAATTTGACCAGAGAGATACACACACATACAAAGTGAGAAAGCAAGCCTCCAGGTCTGGGACTCACACTGTGGTCAGTCATGTGGAAGTGTCCAGTGCTTTCACCACGCTACCTGCTGGCTCCCTCAGGTAAGTTTCTTAACACACTCATAGTAAACGTTATCAAGGCTAGCAGATGGCAAGAAGGTTAAGGCACTGGATTTCATATGGCCAACTGTGTGTTTTGAGTCTCAGATCAGCGGCTTAAAAATCACACTGGACAATTGTGCTCACATGCCCAAAATCCCAAGAGGAGACTAAAGGAGTGACTGTGGTGTGGCCAAACCCCTTGAAGGGTTATTTCTCACTTTCTCTCTCTTTCTGCCAGTTTCTCTCTCTCTCTCTGCCAGTTTCTCTCTCTCTCTCTAGCAAGTACACATATCCTCTAGGGGGAAAAAAAAGACAGAAATAGATGTTATTATTCTTTGACTCTCTAGAAAAACTGATAAGCAAAATGCCTTGAGCATCCCAAAAAACCTTTGCAATGACCTTTTTGTTGAGAGAGAGATTTTGGCTATAGAGCACGTGTGCTTGCTGGAGAGATGGAAAGACAGAAAGCAAGAAATCACCCCTCAGGGGGATGGCCACGCTGGAATCCTTTCTCCTCCATTCTCCTCTTGGGATTTTAGGCATGCATGCACACACGCTTGGCGTGAGTTTAAGTTGCCAGATCTGAGAGTTGAACTGCAGTTAACTATGTGGGAGTTCAGCAACATAACCATTACACCAAATTGCTGGTACCCATTGGAGATGACCACTGTTTTGTTTTTTTTTTTCCGAGAGATTTTTGCTGTAGGGCATGTGTGCTCAGAAAGAGACAGAGACAGAAAATGAGAAATCATTCCCGGGGTGGGTGGCCACACTGCAATCCTTCTCTTCCATTCTCCTCTCAGGATCTTGGGCATGCACACACATGTACCCAGTGTGAGTTTAAGCCACCGGGTCCAGGGCTCAAACCACGGTTGACTACATGGGAGTCCAGCAACATAGCCATTATGCCAATTGCTGGTCCCAGATGACTTCTGCTCTTGATCATTCTACTTTTGCTTTGGACAACTTCCACCTCTGGATAGCTACTGATTTGATCATGCTTTGTCTTCAGGATGGTGCTGGTAAAGCCATGTTTCATCCTGTTACAATTCTTTGAAGGAATACTTTAAGATCTTGATCCTACTTGTTTAAAATTTCTCTCGCAAACTCTGCTCTTGGGGCCAGCAAGGTGGCACGATGGTTAAGGCATTGGACTCTCACATGGCCAACCATGGATAGAATCCCAGATGCGGTAGCTTAAAAATCATGCCAACTGCATGTGTGTGCGCGCCCAAGATCCCAGGAGAATGGAGGACGGACTGCAGTTTGGCAATACCTGCTGGGGGATGAATTCTCACTTTCCCTCTGTTCTTGTCTATAGCGGATTTGGGTGCAAAGTTCTGGCACCCATTCAATAGAAAGTTTGTTCAACTTTAATTATTCAGTCAGAAGTATGTAAGGTGAACCAACTGAAATTGAAATGCCTATGGTGATGGCTATTGTTTCTACTGGTAATCTTTGGTCTCTTCAATTAGGGCATAAACAAGATTTTTTCCTAGCAAGTCTCAATAAATCTGAATGGTCTGCCACTGTGGACTTCAACTCGTCCTTTCTTAAAATGAGTTACTCTTTTATAAACTGCTGGTTTCTTTGGGTCATTGTCCCCATGGACTTCCATAAAACATCAATGATTTCACTATTTTTCCACCCAAACTTCACCATGAATTCGATGTTTGTCTTTGCTTAACTGTTAGCAGAATTCATCAGTTGCTCTGATTAGAGGCTCTTTTCAAACTGATGTCTGATCCTTCTTAGTACCTTAAATTATATCCTGTTTGGATATGTTTTAACAAGATAGTATAAGATATTTTGGTACAAGAAAAATTTGAAATCCATGCATAGTTTTTTCATTATCTGCATTTTCAATGAGCTTTTTGAGGACCTCTTGTTTTGCCCCCACTGTTTTACTTGGGAGGGACAGAAATGTCTCAAATTTTGGCTGCCCATAAGCAAAAAGGTGGAGGAAAAAGAATTCTCACAAATCAGGACCAAAAAAACCCAAACCTCTTGTATTTCTGATCTTTTCCAAATATGAGGTGAATGGGTTAAAAGTAGTTTCTCCTATGAATTGGTCTTTTATAGCTTTACTTCTGTATGCTTATTGTTCTTTAAATAGGATACACCCTTTGCAGTGAAACTTGTTATACAACTCTGTGAAAAAAACTGACTTTTTTCTGTCCTTCACCTCCCTGGACTTTAGTTAATATGGACACCGTGTCTCCTCCAGTACACAGAGGGTTCACTCAGATCAAGAACATCCAGGAAATTTCTTTTTTTTTTTTTTGGAGAGGTTTTTGCTATAGGGCGCGTGCGCTCCCCAGACAGACAGAGACAGAAAGCGAGAAATCACCCCCCAGGGAGGATGGTCCCGCCACAGTCCCTTCTCCTCCATTCTCCTCTCAGGATCTTGGGCACACACGCACACGTGCCTGGCTTGAGTTTTAAGCCACCGGGTCCGGGACGCGAACTGCGGTTGACTACGTGGGAGTCCAGCGACATAGCTATTACGCTAACTGCTGGTTCCTGACATCCAGGAAATTTCTGAACTGGTATGGAATGAGTGTAGGTTCATGTGCCCATCCTTCTGGATAAGGATAGCTGGAAAGCAGCTACTTATGTAAATGAGCCCATTCCCTACAGGATAGAACTGCGAGTCCAGGTTTTTGCATACTCTGTATAACCAACATCGTCTCTTTACTTTTTCATGCTGACTTGTCATTTATAACCTTCTAACAAGTCTCAATGAATGGGGCCTGAAAACAATATGCAATAGGCTGGCAGGTGGCATGGTGATTAGGGCACTGGACTCCCACATGGTGGACTGTAGTTCCAAGTCCCAGACCCAGTGGCTTGCCTCCTCATTTTCCCTTTCTCTTTCTCTGTCTCTCTCTGGTCAAATAAAATAATAATAACAACAAAAGAAGTAATTCTTTAAAAAAAATAATCATATGCAAGATCCAGAGCAGACATGCTACTGAATGACAGCTGACTAGTTTCCAAGTTAACCAGACACATTTGGTTGGAAACCATTTCCTCTCTTAGAGCCTTGAGGATGGAAGGATATAACAGGGTGAGCACTCACTGAGCTTCTTCTTGATCCAGTCTTTCAGCCTCAGCCTGGACCTTCTCAAGATTTTCTGCAACCACTTTGCGGTTCTTTTCCACATCTTCCAGCTCCTGGATCAGCCTCTCCTCCTCTAATGCCAGCTCCTGTAACTCCATCTGTAGCTGTTCACTGTCATCCTCATTCATTTGCTCTAAGATCTCCAAACAGCGTCTGCCGAGGACACGGAGTATACTTACCACAGGGAACTTGAGATCTCATCTGTGTGAGTGGGGCAGAGCTCCTGGGTAAGTGCCAAGTGGCCTCACAACAGTGTCAGCCTCACAACAGTGACAGCCCAGAGACCCAGATTTCAGTTTGTGGGCCCTGGCTCAAGAGGCACTCACTTGTAGTTCTGACACTCATTTTCAGTGACGTTGAGCTGAGTGTCCAGCTGGTCTAAGAGAGTATCTGTGCATTCCTCACACAGCGGGTGATCCACATCTGTCTGGCCCGACATGATGTCAAAAAGGTCCCCAGTGACCTGGAAGTGTGGGAAAGTCAGGGTAGGGCCTCTCCTGCCTAACCACCCCCTCTACCAGCTGGGCCTGCTGTCTGACATGGGAAGGAGGCCGACTTGCCTTCAGTCTTCGGCTGAGGTTCTCCATGGTGCCACCATCGGATGCCTCCCCGATCAGAGTGAAGCTGTTGGCACTTTCTGTGGACATCATCCTGCAGACAGCCCCCCGCCCACGGGCCACATGAGGGAGCAGAGAGGCCTCTTCCACCTACTGCAGGTGCAGTGGCAGAGACTCTCAAGCACTTGGCTGAGGGGCCTCAAGGTGCATGCCCACTCCTAGCCTGGCTGACCTCTCAAGGGTACCTCTCTCCCAAGGAAGGCCATGCTGGTCTTCCACAGGGACACTCAGCACAAAGGTTAGAGCAGATAGACTAAGGAGAGAGGGGGCATCACGAATTCATGTGTGTCTACAGTAGAAAAGGAGAATCAGGAAAGGCCTCACCTTTACCTGTATCAATGAGAACAAAGACCTGAACATCTAACAACATTTGCTATTTTAAAACTTAGTAAGAGGCCATTTGTTTTATTAGTCAATCACTTCTTTAACTTTTCTTGGTTCTTCATCATTAGATTTTTGTCCCTTTCCACTGTGTGAATGGCTACTGAAAACATTCGATCAATACCAGAAGGTAATTTGCCAAGTATAAGGGAATACAACTTTTCTCAAAGAGCCAAAAAAAGGCAAGGTGATGATTCATTTCCATCACCTGGCTCCAGGTCTTGATTCCTGGGTTCAATTAAAATTCTACCAGCCTTTGGCAAGGAAGAGAGGGGCTGAGGAGTAGCAGGCACCTGGCTGGGGGGATGAATCTGCGAGAGACACCATCCTGACGAGTTTCAATAAATGGCTCCTGGGAAAGAAATAAGACGACATTAAAATTCTGGCAGTTTAAAGGAGGAGTCTATTCGCAAACAGCCTCAAAACTACTCGAGTTTTGGCTTTACTCTTGATTGATAACCACAAGTCTTAATAAAACAAAGACTTAAGAAATGGGTGTTCTCGGGACCAGCAAGTGGCGTGGTGATTAAGGCACTGGACACTCCCACATGGCTGACCACGGTTGAGTCCTGGATCTAGTGGCTTGCTTTCTCACCTTCCCTCTCTCACACTCTCTGTGTCTCTCTCTGGTCAAATTAAAGTAAATTAATGAATAAAATAAATAACTAAAAAAAAGAAAGAAATGGGTGTTCTTTAGCCAACCTCATATATGTCAACTAAGAAAGGAGCCATGCATGGTACAGACAAATCCCAAGTCTCACTTGATTTTTTTGTTATATCCTATTGATGGTTAAATTTGTATTTTCTTAACACTTGCCAGTCAGGGATAGGGGACAGAATGCTCTAAATCATAAGACAATCACAAAGAAAAAGCCATATCAGACTGCAATGAAGTTTGCTATAGCATGAAGGAGAAAATAATCATTTTCAATATTTCAATATAATTTATGTGTGATCAAAATCTTTTTCTTTTTAATTGCCAGAGGATGTGTATGTTTACTGGAGAGACACAGAGACAGAGAGAAAGGGGAAAAGTGAGAAATAATCTCCTATGGAGAATGATCATGCTGTAATCCCTTCTCCATTTCTCCTTTCAGGATTTTGGGCATGCATACACATATGCCTGGTGTGTTTATCAAGCTGCTGGGTCCAAGCTCTAACCACACAGTCAGCCATGTGGGAGTTAGCTGCCTTAACTTACACACCACCTACTGGTCTATGATCAAAATCTTTTGACATCTACTGACTTCAAGTGCCAGCCCCTATGCCTATTTGAAATAGGCTTTCTCTGGCCCCTGAACCCTGCACTACCTGTTGGGGGTTCTTGTCCTAACTAATAGCCCCCACTCTACATGAGAACAGCCCTCCCCCAGTGACCAACAGCAGTATGTGGATAAATAACCCAGCTACCTGGCCACTTGGGGAGGATAAATCTCAGGTGTCAACATTATTTTAGGGGCCGGCAGGTGTCATGGTGGTTAAAGGTGCTGGATTCCCACCTGGCCTACTGTGGCTCAAGTCCGTACCTGATGGCTTGCTTTCTTGCTTTCCCTTTCTCTCTCTGGTTAAATTATATATATAAAAAAGAAAACAATAACCAATGTAATTAAATAAGTAAATAAATCTTTGGAGGGGGGACGACACACTATCTTATAAGATATAACTCCACAGATGTTGTATAGGATCAGTGATATCACTGGAGTTTAAAAATGACATGTTTTTTAATACTAGTGACCCCTTTTGTCTAGGATAATCATGCACTTCACTGTAGATACCAGTAGCTAGAAAAACATATGCAGGGGCTGGCAGGTGGTATGGTGGTTAAAGATGCCGTACTCCCACATGGGTGACCACGGTTCGAGTCTCAGACTTGGCAGCTTGCTTTCTCACTTCCTCTCTCTCTGTCTGTCTCTCTCTGGTCAAATTGAAACAATAATTATACTAATAAATAAAGTTAAATAAGGTAATTAAAAAAAAAAGAAAAGAAAAACATATGCAAACCCAGAATGCCCTGGAACAACCTGAACCACATAGGTTATCTCATCTCCAACCTACTGTGGTTTATAATTATGCTTCAAATTAAGAAGAGCCTCTCCTCAGTTTTGAATGGATGTCCCATGCAGTAACCTCATGACCTCAGGAGTACTGCTATTCCTCCAACAATCCATAGTGGCCTTATCAAGTAGAATGTCTCTTGTTAAGCGAGATCCAAAGGTCTAAGTATGCTTGTAGCACCAAGTATGCTATAGAAACCCAGCTTGCATTTTTGTGTTTTCATATCGAATCTCCACTTAGAATATTAATTGTATGAGAAGAATGGGGAGATGGCACTTCTATTACCTCTCCTGAGTTAGCCTCGTCCTCTTGGGTCTCTCCTGGTTTTGTCTGGGCTGTGGCAAGTAATGGAGCTAAGAGCAAGGAAAATATTGAGTCAGAAACAGTCTTACTTTTTTTTCTTTAAGAATTATTTATTTGGGACCAGCAGTTGGCATAATGGCTATGTTGCTGGACTCCCATGTAGTCGACCGTGATTCGAGTCCTAGACCCGGTGGCTTAAACTCATGCCGGGCGCGTGTGCGTGCGTGCCCAAGATCCCAAGAGGAGAATGGAGGAGAAGGGATTGTGGCATGGCCATCCCCCCTGGGGGGTGATTTCTCGCTTTCTCTCTGTTTCTCTCTGTCTCTCTCTGTCTGGTGAGCGGACGCGCCCTATAGCAAAAACCTCTCCAAAAAAAAAAAGAATTATTTATTTGAGGGGACCAGCAGTTAGCGTAATGGCTATGTCGCTGTACTCGCATGTAGTCGACCGCAGCTCATGTCCCGGACCCGGTAGCTTAAAACTCATGCTGGGTGTGTGTGTGCATGTGCCCAAGATCCCAAGAGGAGAATGGAGGAGAAGGGATTGTGGCGTGGCCATCCCCCTTGGCGGGTGATTTCTTGCTTTCTGTCTCTCTGTCTCTCTCTGTCTGTCTGGTGAGTGCACACGTTCTATAGCAAAAAAATTCAAAAAAAAAGAATTATTTATTTGATTCTATTTGAATTATTATTATTATTATTATTTTGAAGAGGTTTTCGCTATAGGGCGCATGTGCTCGCCAGACAGAGACAGAGAGACAGAAAGCTAGAAATCACCCCCCAGGGGGATGGCCACGCCACAATCCCTTCTCCTCCGTTCTCCTCTTGGGATCTTGGGCACGCATGCACACATGCACCTGGTGTGAGTTTAAGCCACTGGGTCCGGGACTTGAACCGTGGTCGACTACATGTGAGTCCAGTGACATAGCCATTACGCTAACTGCTAGTCCCTGTTATTATTATTTTTAATTTGACCAGAAGGAGACAGAGAAAGAGAGAGAAAGGGGAAGGGAGAAAGCAAGCCGTCATGTCTGGGGCTTGAAGTACGGTCAGCCATGTGGGAATCCAGCGCCTTTAACCATACCACCCACTGGCCCTGAGGAAGAGTCTTCTCAAAGCAGGATGGTGTATAAAACTATGGGATAAGAAACAGAAATATCCTTATTGTTACCACCACCTCCAACTTTATATCTTAAAATACCATCTATACAAAAAAGTATCTACTGCCTCCTGGCTACTGCCCCCTACCCATCAATCTCCTGTTAAATCAGATAAGAAGAGAATGTTAAGGAATAACAATATCCTGATTATTTTTTAAAAAGGGGCCAGCAGTGACCTGGTGGTTATTAAAGTGGGTGGATCCTTTGGGGTCAACAGATGGCATGGTGGTAAAGGCACTGTATCTCACATGGTCAACTGCAGTTTGAATTCTAGACCTGGTGGCTTGAAACACAGGTGGCACATGTGTGTGGTACCCAAAATCCCAAGAGGAGAATAGAGGAAAAGGGATTGCAGTGTGGCCATGTCCCCAGGGGGTGAATTCTCACTTTCCCTCTCTCTGGTTCTCTGACTCTCATCACTGAGCACATGCGCCTTATGGCAAAAACCTTAAAAATATAATGAAAAAAAAAGCGCTGGATCCCACATGGCTGATTACATGGTTTAAGCCTCAGACCTGGTGGCTTGAAAAATATGGTGGGCTTGTGTGTGTGTGCAAGCCCAAAATCCTAAAGGAGGACAAAATGGAGAAGGGATTATGGTATGACCATGTCCCATAGAGGGTGCTTTCTTACTTTCCCTCTCTTTCTGTCTCTCTCCAGTGAGCATGCATTCTCTGGCAAATTAAAAAATAAAAACAAAACCAGCGTTTGCTTATAGAAACATTTACAGTACTTAAAACATTTGAGAATTGCTTCAGAATAATTTGGGGTGGGGAGGAGTAAATGGGGCTGTAGCTGAAACATTACATACGTGTTGATAATTTTGATACTAGGTGACAGGTATATAGAGGTTCTTCATATATTTCTTTTATTTTTTCTTTTTTTTTGGAGAGGTTTTTTTCGCTATAGGGCGTGTGCGCTCGCCAGACAGAGAGAGACAGAGAGACAGAAAGCGAGAAATCACTCCCCAGGGGGGATGGTCACACTGCAATCCCTTCTCCTCCATCCTCCTCTCAGGATCTTGGGCACGCACGCACACGCGCCCGGTGTGAGTTTTAAGCCACCGGGTCCGGGACGTGAACCGCGGTCGACTACGTGGGAGTTCAGCGACATAGCCATTATGCTAACTGCTGATTCCCTCTTCATATATTTCTAAATTTTCCATCACAAAGTTAACATCCCTTTTTCTCATGAATAACTGGGAGGGAACATGAGAGAACTTTCTAAGAAGAACCTTTTTACATCATTGTGATCTGGACTACATGAATGCATCCATTTGTCAGAAATGTACAGCCAGGACCAGCAGATGACATAATGGTTACACTGCTGGACTCCCACATGGCTGACTGTGGTTCGAGTCCTGGACCCTGAGGCTTGAAACTAAAACCAGGTGCAAGTGCATGCCCAAAATCCTGAGAGGAGAATAGAAGAGAAGGGATTGCAGCATGGCCTTCCCCCTGGGGGTATGACTTCTTGTTTTCTGTCTCTCTGGTGAGTACATGCACCCTATAGCAAAAATCTCTCTTGGGCTGGTAGATGGTTAAGGGTGCTGAACTTCCACGAGCAACCACAATTTGAGTCCCGGACCTGGCAGCTTGCTTCCCCCCACTCCAGTCAAATTAAAATAAATAAAGTTAAATAAGATAGTTCTTTTTTAAAAGAAATCTCTTTAAAAAAAAAAAGAGGGGCCAGCAGGTGGCATGGTGGTTAAGGTGCTGGATTCTTACATAGCAGATAACAGTTCAAATCCTGGACCTGGAGGCTTGCTTTCCCACTTTCCCTCCTTCTCTCTGTCTCTGTCTTCCTCTGGTAAGTGCATGTGCCCTATAGCAAATTAATTGAAAAAAAAAAAAAAAAAAAAGCCCCGAAGTAGCATAGTGGTTAAAGGCATGGATTCCCCCATGGCTGACCACAGTTTGAGTCCGAGACCTGGCAGCTTGCTTTCTCTCTTTTCCTTCCTCTCTCTGGTCAAATTAAATAATAACAAATAGAATTAAATAAATAATCCTTTTTATTACTTCTTTTTTTGGAGAGGTTTTTTTTGCTATAGGGCACGTGCGCTCACCAGAAATACAGAGAGAAACAGAGACAGAAAGCAAGAAATCACCCCCCAAGAGTTATGGCCATGCCACAATCACTTCTCCATTCTGCTCTTGGGATCTTGGACACACACGCACACGTGTCTGGCGTGAGTTTAAGCCACCGGGTCCAGGACTCAAACCGCAGTAGATTACATGGGAGTCCAGTGACATAGCCATTATGCCAACTGCTGGTCCCAATAAATAATTCTTTTTTTTTTTTTTGAGAGGTTTTGCTATAGGGCGCGTGCGCTCGCCAGACAGACAGAGAGAGACAGAGAGATAGAAAGCAGGAAATCACCCCCCAGGGGGGATGGCCACGCCGCAATCCCTTCTCCTCCATTCTCCTCTCGGGATCTTGGGCACGCACGCACAGACATAGCCATTACGCTAACTGCTGGTCCCCCAATAAATAATTCTTTAAGAAAAAAAAAGTATAGCCAAGATTTGTATATTTCAATGTATGACAATTTGCCTTTTAAAAAAGTGAGACCAGCAGTTGGTGCAATGGCTATGTCGCTGGACTACCACATAGTCGACCACGGTTCAAATCCTGGACCCAGTGGCTTAAACTCATGCCGGGCACATGTGCGTGCATGCCCAAGATCCTGAAAGGAAAATGGAGAAGGGATTGCGGCATGGCCATCTTCCCTGGGGGGTGATTTCTGTCTGTCTGGCGAGTGCACATGCCCTATAGTGGAAACACTCCCCCCTCCCCAAGAAAAGTATAAGGGACCAGGATACGGTGTAGTGGTTATGTCGCAGGACTCCCACATGCCCAAGTGCTGTCGAGTCCTGGGCCCAGCAGCTTCAGGCTTGTGCATGTGCACATATCCCCAAAATCCCAAGAAAAGAATGAAAGAGAAGGGACTGCGGCATGGCCATCCCCTCTGGGGAGTGATAAGTGTGGGAGACAGTAATTGAGTGGGAGATGGGAAGTGAATAGAGGTATAAAGGACACAGCATAATGGGGAACCAGCAGGTGGCATGGTGGTAAGGCGCTGGACACTCCCACATGGCCGACAACAGTTCAAGTCCTGAACCTGGTGGCTTGCTTTCTCACTTTCTCTCTCTCTCTCTCTCTGTCTAACTCTGGTCAAATTAAAAAAAAAAGAATGGATAAATAATAATAATAATAAAGGACACAGCATAATGACAGAATGTGGCAATTATTCAGGATGGGTGAAGGATACAAGAGAGGTGATTAGGCTATTCTCTTGACTGTATTTGCTTGAAATTTTCCATAATAAAAAAATAAATAATCTAGGGAACCAACAGTTAGCGTAATGGCTATGTCGCTCGACTCCCACGTAGTCGAACACAGTTCGCGTCCCCGACCTGGTGGCTTAAAACTCACGCCGGGCGCATGTGCGTGCATGCCCAAGATCCCGAGAGGAGAATGGAGGAGAAGGGATTGTGTCGTGACCACCCCCTCTGGGGGGTGATTTCTCGCTTTCTGTCTCTGTCTCTCTCTGTCTGGCTGGCGAGCGTACACGCCCTATAGTGAAAAAACCTCTCCAAAAAAAAAAAATCTATAGTTAATTCCCCTCAAAAAAGGAAAGAAATTAGATAATAATAGCTAACAATTATTCAGAATACTATTATAAATATAATATTATTTGCCGAGCATGTTCCTAATTATTTATGTACTATCATAGTCAATTCTTAGGACTACCTTATGAGGCATTTTTATATTTTACAGATAAAGAAATCAAGACTTAGAGAGGTGAAATAAAACAAGTTCATTCAGCTAGTCAATGACAGCCAGGATTTAAACCGAAGCAGGCTGACTCCAGATTCATGAACTTATTTAAACTGACTATTTGGTCTATTCTTTTCCCTCTCTAACTTCATCTCACTTCTTGGGACTATGAGACTCTATTCTTCTATTTACCTGCTGGTGGACCTCAGGTATATCACTTAACTTTTCTGAACCTCAATTCTTCATCTGTAAAAATGAGGGGCTACAGTAATGGTACTACTATATAAAGACTGTAGCAGGGACTAAACACTCATAACGCACTTGGTATAGGATAAGTCTTCAACAAATGCCATCTCTATGTCTGTATTATATTTTCACTCTGAAACAGGAACAAAAAAATTAAAGACATTTCTTTTGCTACAGAAGGCTCTCGGAGGCACACAATGTCAGAACTCCTTTATATTCCCGATGAGAAAACAGGGCCAAAGAAATGAAGTGATTTTCCTAGCTTCACATGGAGCGTTTATGGCAGACTACACTGATAGCCACATAGACCTGTATCTTTAAAAGCTGCCCACCTTCCACGTTCTTGACCACCCTCTTTCCACGGGTCTCGCTGACCTGTGAGCTCCTGGATGGTGACACGATCCAGGATCTTGAAGCTCGTGTCCAGCTTCAGGGGCTGGCTGCAGCGCTGGCACACGAAGCTCACCTGCATGGTGCTGCTGGACGTCTTAGACCCCTCCATCCCTGCAGCGGTAGAGAGGAGGCGAAATTAGGGAGGAGGATCAGCGCCCTGAACCTCCGACTCGGGGCTGCCACCTGCCTTGGCTTTGGTGGTGGTGGTGATGGTCTCGGCAAAGGCAGGTTAGTGCTCAGGGTCAGAAAAGGGGCTACCATAAGGGCCGTCAGGGGTCCCAGTTCCCTTCTAAGGTCTCAGTTCAGCCCTCGACACTCTTCACCTCGGGACCCTGGGGCCCGTCACCCAGGTCGGGTCTACCGCGGGGGCACGGTGGCCGCGGGTCTGCCCCAGAGCGAGGCGTCCAGAACTGCCATCGCCCAAGCTTCAGCTACTTCCCGGTCCGCCGGCGGGAGTCTTCCGCCAGGGACCGGACGTGACGTCACGACGACAACAGACGGTCGGGTGGATGATCCTGGTCCACAGGTTTACCAGCCTGGGGGCGGCACCCAGAGGCAGGGGTTGTGGAAGTAGTGGGCGTAGGCTGGTGTGCCAAGGTCGTGAGGGAAAGTGGGAGCAGATGGGAAGACGTCATTGTTCCATTTTCTCAAGATTTGTCACTCCCGGGTGGAGCCACTTTAAATCTTCCAGTACCAGTTTTTTTTGTTTGGAGATTTTTGATGTAGGGCGCATGTGCTCGCTGGAGAGAGAGAGAAAGCAAGAAATCACCCTGGGGAGATGGCCACACTGCAATCCCTTCTCCTTCATTCTGCTCTCAGGATTTTGGGCACGCACGCACACGCGCCCAGCATGAATTTTAAGTTTTAAACCTCTGGGTCTAGGGCTGGAGCCACTTTCGACTGCCTGGGATTCCAGCGACTTAACCATAATGCCATGTGCTCGTCCCGCCAACAGCAGTTTTTGAAAATTCTTAAGGGAACTGGACTGTCTTTCAAAGGTCTGAGATGGAAGGGGAGGGAAGGCGGTAAGCTTTAATATTCTGAAATGTTTTATATTTTAAAGTTCCAGTTATTGGGGGAAAGTAGAGTGCTTTCAGGTTTAGAAATGTATTATGACATTACAAAGCTAAAAATCATTTTCGTCTTGGTGCAGGAATAGATGGATGAGTGGAACAGAATAGAGTTCCAAATTAGACCAAGGTGGGCTGGCTCAGTGGCTCAGCAGTAATGTGTTGCTCAGTGCCCTGGTGGCAGGACCAGTCTGTGGAAGATGTCTCTCTGGTTCTCTCTCTCTCCCCCATCTCTTTTATACCCTCACATGCATGAACTCCATCATGAATTTAGAGAGATCAAATGGTGGTACAGTGGTAAAATTTGACACTCTACATTGCAATCCCACGTGAGAAAATTTCCAGTTCAAGTCTGGAGACCTTCCTGAGTACACCAGGCACTCGTGTGCCTGTCATCAGGGTTGGCTGAAGCTGCTGCAGGTGGATCCTGTCATCAAAATTCTGTTGGGAGTACTGTCACTGTCCCTCGGTCTCTCCTGCTCATGGAGTAAATAAATACATAAACTAAACAAACTTTAAAACCAAAAGAGACCAAGTATACAGGGGAATTTAGTATGTGATAAAGGTGCCTTTTAAAAAAAGAATTATTTAACTTTATTTACTTATTATAATTTGATCAGACAGGTACAGAGAGAGAGAGAGAGAGAGAGAGAAAGTGAGATAACAGGCTGCCAGGTCTGGAACTCAAACCACGGTTTGGCCATGTGGGAGTCCAACGCCCTTAACCATCAAGCCACCTACCAGTCCCTGTTTTATTTTATTTTTTTGAAAGTCTGCTATAGGGCACATTCACTAGAGGAGAGAGAGACAGAGAAAGAAAGAAAGAAAAATAATCATCCCTGGGGTGATGGTGGTGGCCATGCCACAGTCCCTTTTCCATTCTCCTTGGGATGTTAGGCATGCACACACACATACCTGGTGTGATTTTCAAGTCACTGGGTCCAGGACTCAAACTGTGCAGTCAGCTATGGAATCCAACTGTCCTAACCTCCACACCACCTGCTGGCCTTTTATTATTGTTTAAGATTTTTGCCATAGGGTCCATGCACTCACAGGAGAGAAAGAGAGAGAGAAAAGAGGAAAATTGAGAAATTTCCCTTTACCTCCCCCAGGAGGAATGGTCACATTGCAATCCTCTTCATTCTCTTGGGATTTTAGGCATGCAATGTAGTCATTACAATGGAATTATAACACTACGTGGTCTTTGGGATCTGGGTTTCATTTTTTACTTGTCGCTTAAATTATTTTTTATTTAAAAATAAAACGCCAGCAGTTGTGTGCACTTGCCAGGGATTCAAAGAGAGAAAAAGCAAGAGAGCACCCCTTCCTCCCACCCAATCCCCAGCCAGCAGGTGGCATGGAGGTTAAGGTGCTAAGTCCCACATGGCCAACTGCACAGTTCAAGTCTCAGACTCAGAGGCTTGAAAGTCACTCCAGGCACGTGTGCATGCATGCCCAAAATCCCAAGGGGAGGAGGAGTTGCAGTGTGGCTATCCTCCCTGGAAGGTGACCTCACATTCTCTTCCCCTGTCTCTCTCCAGTGAGCACACAGGTCATATAGCAAAAAAAAAAAAAAAAGTAAGAAAGCACACCCTCCCGCCATGGGGTATGGTCACACCACAGTCTCTTCTCCATTTCTCCCTCCTTTTGGGATTTTTGGGCACTCACACACATATGTGCCAGGTATTTTTCAACCTGCCTGGCCAGGAACTTGAGCCATGCAGTTGGCCATGTGGGAGCCAGCCACCTTAACCATCATACCACTGGTCCAGTGTATTTCTTTATTGCTGAAAATTTCCATTGTTCCAGTTTTGCTGATTACAATAATGCTGCAATAAAGAGCTGACCACTTCCTTATGACAGAGCCTCATAAATCATATTACTGAATTAAGAGTGTGGCTATTTCATGACTTTAAATTTTTTTATTCTATTTTTATTCATTATAGAGCAAATGTGCATGCATGAATAAGCAAGAAGCACCCTTCACAGGGCTTGGTCAGACCATAATCCCATTCCTCAGTCCAACAGGATGCTAAGCACATGTGCATGTACCCAGCATGTTTTTATTCTGACTGGGCCAGGGACTTGAATGGGGATCAGCATGTGGCTTTCTATTTCACAATCCTGTATGCTGCACACATACAGACCCAGCCTCTTTCATTCTCCTGATTTAGCACTGGCAATTGTCTTCCAAAGTGACTGTGAATCATTATTTTCTGTCTTTAATAATGTATGAGAGAGCTTATTTCATGATGCCTTGGCCAGTACTGAGTATCATATATTTAGGGAACAAAAGCAAACAAACAAAAATGGCACCTCCTTATTACTCAGTTGACTTCACTGATTACTGGTAAGGATGAACATTCTGCCATATATTTGCTTATTGTAGTTTCTCTTTTTTAAGAAAATGTTTCTTTCATGTGTGTGTGTGAGAGAGAAAGACAGGCAGATAAACAGGGACCCCTGTCAGGGTCTTGCCATACTCTTATCTTCCCTCCAGTCTTCCAGCCAACCATGATCACAGGTGCAGTTGTGTTCAGGTCAAACCAGGATCCCAAACCAGGCCTTCCTGTATGCCATCAGTATTCACGGCAGTGCCTATCTACATGTGCCACTGAAGCCGGACCTGTGATTCTTCCTTGGTGAGTTATTTGTGTCTTTTGTCTTTATGTTTATTTTTTAAGTTTTTGCTATAGGGTGTGTGTACTCACCAGAGAGACAGAGAGAAAGAGAGAGAGAAATCACACATACACACCTGGAGCAATGGTTACACTGCAATTCCTTCTCCATTGTCCTCTTGGGATCCTGGACATGCATGCATATGTGTCTGGTGTGTTTTTCAAGCCACCAGGTCCAGGACTTGAAATGTGATGTTGGAATCCAGCCATGAAGTCAGCCATGTGGGATTCAGTCACCTTAACCATGCCATTACCTGGCCTGTTCTTAACCATACCATCAGCTGACCTGTCCTTTGCTTATTTATCTATTGGATTCCTAATATTTTTCTCAATATTTTATTTTGTTTCTTTTTGAGAGATTTTTGCTATAGGGCATGCATGCTCGCCAGAGAGACAGATTGAGACAGAGAGACAGAAAGTGAGAAGTCACCCCCACCAGGGGATGGCCATGCTGCAATCCCTTCTCCTCCATTCTCCTCTCAGGATCTTGGGCACGCACACACATGTACCTGGTGTGGGTTTTAAACTGCCGGGTGAACAGTCGACTACATGGGAGTCTAGTGACATAACCATTATGCCATCTGCCAGTCCCCATATTTTTCTCAATAGATGAAATCAATTTTTATGAGTGATTTAGACTTTTATTTTCCAGATGTGCAAAAAGCTTTACATTTTAATAAAGTAAAATATGCTTGTTTTTCTTTGTAACTTATATTGCTTAAAACTTATTCCTGGGTCAGCCAGTGTCATGGGGGTTAAGATAGCTGGATCCCACATGGATGACTTCGCTGGTAAGAGTCCCAGACTGGGCTACTTGAAAAACACACTAGGTTTGTGTGTAAGTGTGCCCAAAATCCCAATGGGATGGAGAAATGGAGAAGAGATTGTGTCATGACCATCTCCTATGTTCTCTTACTTTCTTCCCCTCTTTCTCTACGAGGAACACACATACCCTCTGGCAATTTTTTAAAGATTAAAAAAATGTTTTTTAGTTTTATTTAACTTTATTCATCCATTTATTTATTTTAATTTGACTGGAGAGGGACAGAGCAAGAGCAAGAGCGAGAAGGGGGAAAGTAAAGCAAGCTGCCAGGTCGGGGACTTGAACCATGGTCGGCTATGTGGGAGTCCAGCGCCCTTAACCACCATGCCACCTGCTGGCCCCAACTTTATTTTAAATATATGTGGTCCTCCTATAATTGATACTCAATGTGGAACGAGATCGATTTTCTCCTGGTATTGCTAACCAAAGCAAGCCTTTCCAAGCCTCCGTCTTATATCTTTCAGCAGAGACCCCCCTCTAGAGGACATTAGTGGAATCATCCCCAAAGATTTCTCACCTTGGCCTGTTCATAGTGCTACATTTCTCAGTCTTCCTCTGCTCCTACAGATTCCTCCTTAGCTCCTGCAGAGGAAGCATTATTCTTCTGACACCTTAATTTTAGACTTCTGGCTTTCAGAACCATGAGACAATACAATTCTCTTGTTCTAATCCATCCAGTTTGTGGGGTTTTAAAATTTTTTTTATTATAGCTACCCTAGCAAACTAATATAAATGTGATGAAAATTAAAGAGGATGATGTGGTAGACTACATGTGGGGGCCAAGGGTAGGTGGAGTCACTTCAACTGGGGGATTCAGGAAGGTCTCTAAGAAAGAGGTAGAGAAGTAACAGATTTCTAAAGATTGTAACTGAGGGAAGGTTTGGAAGTCTAGGCTGCCTGGGTT